AGAGCGGCGGGACGGACGGGGAGGCCGCGGGCAGCCTGCACGGGGCTGAGCCGGCCGGGGTGTGCAGCCCCGGCAGCGGACGCGTGCACACGCAGCCTTTAAAACGAAGGCAAATACCTCTCTCCTCTCCGGCTCCATCGTCCGCTACCCGTCCCGCCTCGGCCACGCCGTTGCCTCCGCCGTGCTGCCCGTTCTCCATGTGTCCCGCGCTGGGATGGGCTGCCAGACCCTCCTCTCTGCCGCCGGCGGGTTTTGGCCCCGCGCTGCCTGCTGGCGTTTTGGCAGCGGCAGCCTCGCCGCTCCAGCGATGGCATGTGTCCATTTTTTTTTTTTTTTTTTTTCCCTCTCTCTCCTCTCTCCCTTTCACAATCCGTCCTCCCCAGCCTTCTCCGCCGGTGCCTCCGGAGCCGCCTGCGGTGCCAGCTCGCAGGGAAATTGGCAGCGAACGCGGCGCAGGGATCCTCCCGCAGCTGACGGAGCCCCGCCAGGCGCAGGCAGCCCTTCTGCCAGCCACCAGCCTTGGCACAGGGGGCCGGGGGGCCGCGGGGGGCTGCCGACGCTTGGCAGCCCTTCCCCAGCACCGCGCGCCCCAGCCGCCGCCACGGTTCGGCTGCCAAAAGCCAAATGAGGGGGGAGGAAAAGGGGAAAATGGCAGAGAGAAGAGCTGGCTTCGCCGTGCCCGGTGGCGGGGGACGCGCTGGGGGCCCCTTCCCTTCGCCACGGCCGGCTGGGCGACGTCCTCGTCCTTCGGCGGAGGGCATGGGAGCCTGGCTGCGGTGCTGGCGTCGCATGGAGAGGCTCAGCCCCGTCTGTCTCTACTCGTGCCCCCAGCCCAGCTGGGAGAACCCATCCCGGGGATGGCAAGCGCCGACGCAGCCCGGCTCGGCGATGCTGCGTGGCGAGCACGGCTCCCGCAGACACACCTCTTACCCAGCATCCGTCTGCCGCGTAGGGGGGCCCGGGAAATTGGGAAGGGGAGAGCGGAGGAGGGACTTCTGGCGATGGGTGGGTGGTTTTGGGGTGCCCTCCGGCCGTGCGTTGCTCTACACGGCCACCTCAGCCTCGTGCGACGCGGCATCCCCACCCCATGCCGAAATCCCGGCCCTGGCGGCGCAGTCGTGCCATGGCTCCGTCCTGGCCAGACATCGGCACTGCAGCAATGCCCGCCTCTCCGGCTTTTCTTCCCCACATTCCTGGTCTTGGCGTCTTTTTTAGAGGGAGAAGCAGGAGCGTGGCTTGAGCATCCACCGTAGCCCAGGTGGTCCCGGCACCGATGCCCCAGGAGAGTCCCGGAGGCCGAGGGACACCGGTGGGGACGGCCAAGCGGGAGGCAGGGGACGGGCTGCCAGCCCAGAGCCGGCCCAGCACCCTGCTCAGCTTCACCCAAAATAAGTCGTTTACCGAGAGCCACATTTATTGGGAGCTGCAGGGGTGCTGGGGCTGCCCCGCTGCCCTCTCCCCAGCCCCACGGCACAGCCCCATGGCACAGAGCACCGGGAGCGCCGGTCAAGGCACCAGCACACAGAGACCTGCCTGCCATCACTGTTTAAAAGGTTTACCCCCTAATTGGGAATGCCTTTAATGGGCTTGGTAGGAGACACCAAGAGCCTTCCACGGGGCAGGTCAGGGCTGTGCTTGGCCCACACCGGCCCCAGCCTGGACTCCTGCCATGCAGCACCCAGTGTCCCTATGCTATGTCCCTATGCATATGTCCTTATGGGTGACACATCCCAGCCCAAGAGCCAGCAGCTGGGGATGCAGCAGCTCCCGGGATGGCGGTGACGGTCCATGCCATAGGAAGAGCCCCAGGAACCGTCTCAACGTGCCCTTCTGCCCGCACCCCCCCGTCCCCCAGAGGCTGTACCCCGGCCTGCCCGTGTCACACGTGCGCCTGCCATTTCCTCAAATAAGCAGCTAATCTCCATCAATCATAATTTCGCGCAATTATCATAATAGGGCCATTTTGCACTTATCCTCGCCACGTGACGCAGGAGGCACTTACGGCTCCACTTCACGCCGAGCGTCTCCGAGCTGCTCCCGTCCCCGGGGAGTCCCGATGGCAATCGCGTCCCCCACAAGCTCCGGGGGACAGACCCGTCCCCTGCCCCCCGAGCGGATGCTCGTGCCGGGTGGGATGCGGGCACGGGGGGATGGTAGCCGGACCGTGTCCCCTGGCTCGTGCCCTCGCACCACTGCAGCAGCAGCACAGGGGTTAAACCCCGAAACGGGGACAGTTAATCCGGTTTCTCCCACCATATGGCCCTGCCGGCCAGGCTCCCCGCACCACGGCAGCCTCTCGGTTGCGCCGATGCCATGCGGCATGTGCGCGGCCAGCAGCCCCGGCTCTGACCCTCCGCTGGCTGGCGGGGAGCAGATTAGGGGGGGCTGGGAGGTGATGAGGCACGAGGGCTGCCGGTGGGAGATTAGGCACTGGCAGATGGATGGAGATCAAATGTTTCGCTCCACCTTGTTTACTACTCCCTCCTCGGCAGCGGCTGGGGACCCCGGCACAGGCTCTGGTTCTGTCCCACCTTGGGCTGGGAAAGGACAGGGCTGGGGACATGGTGCCCGCAGCCTTGGGGTGTCCCAGCGGGGATGGACGGGCTCCCCCCTTGCCGTGCTCCGTCCTTACCCCAAGCAGCATCACGGCGGCAGTCCCCTGTGCCCCCATCCCGTCCCACCATGGAGTACCGGGTTGGAGCCGCCAGCAGCCGTGGCACTCACCCTAAGCTCCCCGTAACCCAGCGGTGTTTGCGGTGTTTGCACCACCATAGTAATTACTTTCCTTTTTTTTTTTTTTTTTTTTTAATAAATACGGATGTTGCCACAAGTAAACTCTAATGTAATAAAAGCTTTCTGCTGGATCCATAATTAATCAGCAAGCTGTGTAAGGTGGGGGGGTAGCAAGTGGAAAACCCTCACGCCAACGTGGGCCACAGGGCTCGCACCCAGCTGGGAGGGAGGTGACAAACCACGGTGGCAGCCTGGGGACATCCCAGTGCCCTGGGGACCATTGCAGCAGCCCTATGAGCCCGGGGTTGGGGGGTCTGTGGGTGGGCAGGGCTGCAGTGCACCCAGGTCTCTGCTTTTGCAGTGCCCGGCTGCTCCACAGCAGCTGCAGGCACTACGTATTTTGCTCCCAGCTGTGACGGCACATCTGGACTGACCCCTTCCCCGATGCGTTGTCCCCGCCACCCCAATACGGAGAACGGGGCCAGGCACCGCGCATCTCTCCCCGTGCAGCCAAACACTGGCACAGGGTGAGCCAGCATTGCCACTGCTGAATAAACCATAACCCGCTCCCCCAGCACTGGCAATGACCGGGGCTGGCTTGGCACCGCTGCGGAGCAGCTCTCTCCCTCCCGGCCCCGGGGAAGCAAACTGCGGCCCCGGCAGCCCCCCAGGATGGACGGCAGTGCCCGGGCGCTGCTCAGGGCCAGGGCTGAGCATCGTCTCCGGGGATGTGGCCGACTCCAGATGGCCAGTGGCCACCAGGTGCCGGGGGACGGAGCGGCAGAGGGTGGCTCGGGGTGGACATCTGCTGTGCACGCGGCCAGCTGGCCCGGCAGCCTGCCACGGTCGTGGGGGGAGCACGGCCCCGTCACCCCCCCGCCCCAGGGATGGGGGTCCCTGCACAACCTGGAGGGGCCACGTAGTCGCAGAGGAGGATCCTGCCTGGCGCACGCATCTGCGACGACTGTCACAGCCCTGTGCCCACACCACGCACCCTGTCCCTTCCAGCCCTGGGACCACCGCAGGGATGATGGCACCCCACTCTCGTCACCCCTGCTCCCCCTCGGTGGGGTGTGGGGGGGTTAATCCCTGCAGCCTGCGGGGACCGGGGGAGGCCGGTGACAGATGGCGAGTGCGAAAAGGAGAATGAAAGCGGCGGTGGCAGGGTGGTGGTGGGAGCCGGGCACATCTGCAGGGCAGCACGTGGGCACGGGGCACGCTGAACCCTCCCTGGTGTGAGGGAGGGGTCCCTCCTGCAGCAGCTCCGCACAGGGGAGCCGTGCAACGGGGAGCAAGCCGTGCAACAGCCGTGCAACGGGGAGCAAGCCGTGCAACAGCCGTGCATTGGGGAGCCGTGCAATGGGGAGCCGTGCAACAGACATGCAATGGGGAATTGAGCAGTGGTGAGGGTACTGTACAACAGGGAAGGAGCTGTGCAATGGGGAGCTCTGCAACGCGGAGGAAGCCGTGCAACTGGGAGGGAACCTTGCAGTGGAGAGCCATGCAACAGGGAGCTGTGCAACATGGAGGGAGCCGTGCCACGGGGAGCCATGCAACGGGGAGGCGTGAAGTGGGGAGCTGCGCATCAGGAAGGCGTGCAACGGGAGGGAGCCATGCAACAGGGTGCCGTGCAAAGGGGAGGCGTGCAACGGGAGGGAGCCATGCAACAGGGTGCCGTGCAAAGGGGAGGCGTGCAACGGGAGGGAGCCGTGCAATGCGGAGCCATGCAACGGGGAGGCGTGCAACGGGGAGGCGTGCAACGGGGAGGCGTGCAACGGGGTGCCATGCAGCACGGCTGGCGCGGGGCTGGCGGGTGCAGGTCCCATCATGGCCGGGCTCTGCCCAAGGCTGGGCTCCCGTCCTCGCTTCCGCTCCCAGCCCCGCTGCGCCTCGCTGGGCTGCCGGCCGCCGGCCCCGGGGTGGAAACACACCTGAGGGAGGTGGGTGGGGGGTCACCCCGGCCGCCCCGCTTCACGCGCCGCCGCGCACAGCCGGAAAAACAAGGCTCCAGCAGAGGAGCGGGCTGCGGGAGGGGGACGGCGCCGGGACACGTGCCGCCGGAGAAGGGCCGGAGAA